AAGCCTGAAAATAAAGTTGAATGGGACTCTAACTATGTCCCCTGGTGTAAGTGTTACCTCTATGGTAAACCCTCAGAAGCTGTAAACCCTCAGAGTCTAAGGTAATAGAGAATGGAAGTACAAGTTTCCTACATGGATTATTGCAAGCGGTAGTAATTAAGGCTACTCCTATTCCAACCTGCTTTTCTGTTTGACTCACATATTCTACTTATTGGAGAACTCACATGCTTGCATCTCCAAACTGGAACCTCAGTTGGGTCAGGGCAGCTTTGAGGTAGTATATGTATATATGTATTATGATATTTGTGGTCCTTTGTCCATTGACATATCTCCTTTGGTGTGAAGTTTATCTCTTGTTCTACTGAGTTGTTTTGCAGGATTCTGAGTAGCTGCGTCAGATATCTCTAGATAGTGTGCCAGCCTGTGGGCAAGAAAGACAAATTTATACTCAGAATGTATGCTGATTCTAGTCAAGATGATAGCTGTCTTTTAAGGTAGAGAAATCCAATGTAATAAGCCTACCACCAAAAAGTCTCATAGGTAAATAACTTATTGGGGTCTAGAGCTGGTTTATGTTGTGGGGGATTGAACATTCGCCAGAAGTAGTAGCTGTATCAGTCTTGGAGAATGGAAACACATGCTAAAAGGACCATGTGTAGTTTTCCTCTCTGACTCAATGGCAACTCTATTCATGAGCTCATGGTATGAGAAATGGGGTACTGGTTGGCAATGGTTGATTGAGACCAAATGGTGAGTTGCTCTGTCTATTCCAGCCGTGGGCAAACTATGGCCCTTCAGGCCGGATCTGGCCCATTTGAAATGAATAAAACTATTGAAAAAAAAAGACCGTACCCTTTTATGTAATGATGTTTACTTTGGATTTATATTAGTTCACACAAACACTCCATCCATGCTTTTGTTCCGCCCCTCCGGTCCAGTTTAAGAACCCATTGTGGCCCTCGAGTCAAAAAGTTTGCCCACCCCTGGCACTCGGTAGCTCAGTACTTACTTCATTGAGTATGTTTTCTAGTAGGTATAGATATACAATAAAATGTCTTGACCACTTCTATTGGTGCCTCTTTCCCAGCTCTTCTTGTCCTCAATCTTCCAACTTTGTTCTCCTATGCGTATAGAAATCCATGCAGTCACCTGCCGTTGCTCTTTATTCCATTAGCATTCTTATCTTAGACCACTTCCCTTTCCACACAAGTAGATAACCAAATGTCTGAAGCTTGGACTTTTTCTTCTTATCAGCTTTTCAAAAGGAGTCCCCTCATGTGGTACCAGGTATGAGCTGAAGAAGCACAGTGGAACATTAATAAAAGATATGGAGGTCTAGGTTATCTGCTCATGCAGCCAAGCCATTATTCTGGACATACCACTTTCACATTACAATAGATTGTTGCGAACTGGTCTAACTTATGACTTTATGAATTTGACAGGTATAGCTATTGCTACGTGGTCAAATGGTATCCATGGTCAGACATTGTAAGGATACTCTAGTACAGTGGTCAGCAAACTCATTAGTCAACAGAGCCAAATATCAATAGTACAATGATTGAAATTTCTTTTGAGAGCCAAATTTTTTAAACTTAAACTCTATAGGTAGGTACATTGTTATTAACTTAATTAGGGTACTCCTAAGGCTTAGGAAGAGACATACTCAAGGGGCCAAAGAGCCGCATGTGGCTCGCGAGCCACAGTTTGCCCACCACTGCATCTAGTAGATCAGCCACTACTTGTCAAATGGTATATATATTTGTCCACTGCAAGACAGGAGCTTGCTTCAGATCTCCTGGGGTCCAATTGTAATTTTCCTCTTGGGGAATTTAATAAATGCCACATGGCACATTTATAATCAGGGTGGAATATTCTAGGTAATATGAGCCATAGGTATAGTTGGACTGTAGCTCTTTTGTGCGTTGGGCCCTATTCAAACCTGGCAGCCTTCCAGGCAAGCTTCTAAACCTCCAAAAATTTCACTGCTGTGGCACATGCCCTAACATTTCTCTAATTTATCTCTTACCCTCTGGAGCACATGAAACACAAAAAAGGTCCCCAATGTATTTAGCACTTTGTGTGCATTTTGTCTGGTTAATATGATGCCATCAATGAAGTAGACCAATGGAATGTTCTGCATGATATCCAAGTGATCCAGTTCCCTTCAGACTATGTTATGCCAGAGTATAAGAGAGTTTATAGACACTTAGGACAAGTCTGTAATGTATATTGTTTCCATCCCACATTCATGTGAATCACTTCTAATTTTTTATTCCCAAATGGCTGGAGATTGGATATTTTTGCTAGCTATTCTCCTGTTTCAGTGTCCATTTGCTCCAGAAAAAATTCCCTTCTGGCAAAGGTACTGCAATTGAGGCTACTGTTTGGTTGTGTTTAGAGCACAGCATCATCAGTTGGCACAATACGTCTCGTGTTTGAAGGGGCCAGAATAGTGAATTAAATGGAACTATTATGAGGACCCTCATGTTAAAATTTAAGTCATTAAAGTAGTCACTAATCTCTAACACCCCAGTGTGTGATATTTAAATCCTTGTTTTGATATAATTTTAAATATACAGAAGAGTTGCAAAATAATATAGAAAGTTTCCATTACAATTCACCTAGTTTACATAATCATGTTGATATCTTTCATAACGATTTATCAAAACTGAGAAATTAACAATGATAGAATACTATTATTCAACTAGAGACTTTATTCAGATATTACCAGGTCATAACCTTTGTTGTCATTTTTCCAGAACCCAAAGCCTCATACCACATTGCATTTAGGTTTCATGTTACTTTATACAAATTAAAACCACAGGAGATGCATGCATGTCCAATAGAATGACAGAAATGGGAAAAAAAATGACAATACCAAGTGGTGGCAAGAACGTGGATCAGCTGGGATTCTTATGCATGCCTGGTGGAAATGCAAAATGGCATAGCAACTTCGGAAGATCATTTGGCAATTTCTTATAAAGATAAGCCTATTAGTTGGCTTTCTCTATCTTTCTCCACCTCTTTCCCCACCCCTTTACCCCAAAGGTATTTTTCTTGCCTCTCTCTTTCTCATTAACTCTAAAGGCCCTTCTTTTGCCTCTGTAACTTGTTTCCTGACTCTATTTCTTCTACTTATATGGCTCACTTCTATTTCTGTGACGTTCTAAATAAACTTTTGCTTCTACTAGTATTTGAGTACTGGCTCTAAATTCTTCCTTAGCCAAAACTCAAGGGAACCAAGGTCTGGTCCTATTCCATCGGTCTCACACCTGATGCCATTTCCCTGCCAATACTTAGGGACTCGAGCACTAAGTATGGTGATGCTCCAAGGTAAAAGGAATATATCAAGATAAGAACTTCACCTGCCCTTTGCCTCAGCAATTCCTAGGTAAAAGCTTGAGAGAACATTAATTTGACAAATGGATTTTTCAGTTGTGGGGCTGAATGTGTCCCATTGAAATCATCGATAGATATCATTCTCATGAAAGGAGCAATTTTAAGGGTTACTAAGGAAAGAGCCCACGTCCCTGGTGGGGGGTAAGGAAGTGGGTGACAGAATTGTGTCAGCTGGGATTCCGACTCCCATGTTTGTGAGCTGATTCACCTACCAGTCAAACAAGACTCTGTCCAGAGCAAAACCTCTGAATGCAGAAGGAAGAAATGTCTCAGAAATACTCAGCCTTTCCGTCCCGTGCTGTCACCTTGGTTCATTCGGATTCATTCATGCCATTTATCTTCCTGGATATTCAGGGGAAGCAGGAGTCTTTAAAAAACTCATATTACCCAACAAACGACCTGTTAGAGATGTAGAATATAGGGCCACACAAAACCTGTACTAAAATTACTAGATGTTCACTGTAGCTTTATGTGGGAAACTGTTTATTGCCTTCACTATCTGATAAGCAGAGACCGAAACCCCCCGAAGGCTGGGTGCCTTTGAAGCCCTAGCAAAGCTCGGAGCTAGGCGCCACCTCTGTTTGTCCAGACAGTGGTCGCTGAAACTATTCCCACATTTATTATTAGGTAAAACCTTGCTGATGGGCTAGTCTGCCTGTTAATGGGGGGGTCGCCTGCCTAAGGGCTACTCCAGATCAATAAAAGATTGGAGCAGCCTGAGCATGGGTGGAAGTCCCTCTCCTTGAGTTGGACTTGCCCGCCTGGACCTCCGATATTGCAAAATTATCTCGTGTCTTTTTCTCTCATTTGCTGTGCGGCTCCTCTTTCAGGTGCCGAACCCTACTCCACGCGGGTCGTGGAAGGAAACACTCAACATGGGGCCTACTGAGCTGAGAGCCCTGGGTCTATTCCTGGAAATTGTTTGCTGATCTGTGTGTCAATGGGAGGTCGCCTGCCTAAGGGCTACGCCAGATCAATAAAAGATTGGAGCAGCCTGAGCACAGGGAGGAAGTCCTTCGGGACTTGGCCGCCTGGTCCCCCAATATTGCAAAATTATCTCGTGTCTTTTTTTCTCGTTTGTTGTGCGGCTCCTCTTTCAGATACCGAACCCTACTCCACGCGGGTCGTGGAAGGAAAAACACTCAATAGCTTTACTTATAAAAGCCCCAAACTGATAAAATCTCCACTGTCCAGCAACTGATTAATATACAAAAAAAAATAGTGGTACAATATAATGAAACACTGCTCAGCAATAACAAATAATAAACTAATAAGTACATAAACATGGGTGAATCTCAAGTCTTGCACAAAGGTACATATTATGTAATTCCATTTTAATAGCATTCTGGAAAAGATCAAACTATTGGAAGAGACATCAGAACAATGGTTGCTATGAACCAGAGCTTGGTGAAGGGGCTGACTGAAAAAGAAAGGAGGCAAGCTTAGGGGGTGATGGTGATACAGGAATTCCCCTGAATTTTAAAGTTCACGTTTAGTCACTTTGCTTTTATAAAACACCTACATCAGAACCTGTGTTTCTTAACCAAAAGAATCTAAAAAGGATTTTCTCTTTTCCAGCAAAAGGCAAAAAGCACAAACAGCGCTGGGTGTGTGTTTTGCAGCAGCCCTTACAGAGGCGGCACCAGGAGCAGCTGGAGTGGGGGTCCCGCCCAGCTCCTTCGCTGGGAACCACACTCAGCATCAAGCCGCCATCACCTTGAGCTGTTGTCTGTGAGCATCACTTTATCTCCATTCATTCTGTGCATCTGTTAGCAAGATGGGTGCGGCTTTATCAGAAAGGCCCAAGGGAGCTCCTTACCGGTTTTATGTTTAGTGTAAAAGCGAGCATAATTGTTTTGATCACCGTGAACGGAAGACATTGTCTGTGCATTGAATTTTGGGTCCAGGAGGCTAAAAATTATTTCCACATAAATTAATGACAAGTGCTTCTTCACTTTGCACCATTTTGGCTTACAAAAGGTTTTTTGTTTGTTTGTTTGTTTGTTTGTTTGTTTATAAAAACACTCCACTTTCAGGTAGTGGGGGAAAGCAGTAGCTTATATTTTTACTATGGTGGTGGTGTTTAGATAACTGTATATATTTGTCAAAACTTACCAAATTAGGATTGTGCACAAAGGTAAATTTTGTTATGTAAATTATAAAACAATAAACCTGACCAAAAAGAAAAGAAAGATGTACCATCCACACTTATTGGTTCAATATAAAATTTCAAGATGAGTTTGATCCTATTGTTAGAAGACAGCTGCTCTAAGTTCCCCATCCCTAGGTAGTGAACTCCCCTAGCCCACTACTCCATGCCTGTGAACATTGAACATTGGCATTTCTAAATTGCTGTGACTGAAATCTTAAAGAAGCAGGCTACTTTACGGGGCCAGTGCTCAAATGTGCCCTTGACACTGAAGTTTGGTCTATCTATTGTATTTTGCCAAATGGTGAATTAAAAATCAGAACTGAGCTCCTAGGTGATGGGCATTGTTTCTAAGCAAAGGCCATGCTTACAGATGAGTACCATCTGAAGGGCAATTAGGAGTTTTAAAGTCAAATGGCACCTATATGGCATTGTACAGTATGAAATTCTGGTTTTTGATAAAGAGCAGAAAAGGAGATGGAATTGAATGCCAATAACAGAAAATGTGACTCATATATGAGATATGATCCTTCTTGAATGGCCAGGTCCAGACACTGTGGGTGTCTCGTGTGATTGCACTGTGGGGAAATGATAGGTTTCTTGGTGTTTACAGGGGAGCTGATGCCTGAAAAGCTGGAAAACCAAATGGTAATTGAAAATCGGAACCGAGCTCCTAGGTAATGGGCATTGTTTCTAAGCAAAGGCCATGCTTGAAGATGAGTACCATCTGAAGGGCAATTAGGAGTTTTAAAGTCAAATGGCACTTATATGGCATTGTACAGTATGAAATTATGAAAGGTTTTTGACAAGTAGCAGAAAAGGAGATGAAATTGAATGCCAATATCAGAAAATGTGACTCATATATGAGATATGATCCTTCTTGAACGGCCAGGTTCAGACACTGTGGGTGTCTCGTGTGATTGTGCTGTGGGGAAATGATAGGTTTCTTGGTATTTACAGGGGAGCTGATGCCTGAAAAGCTGGAAAGGAATCTCTCAGTAGTAAATGTAAACATATCTCATTGAGTAAGATCATGTGCTGCAGTAGGTGAGAGTTTGGGATTTGGAATATGGCAGACCTTGTAAGTGACATGGGATGAGTCATTAAAAGCTCTCTAAACCCCCATTCTTTCCTCTGAAAGCAGGAAAGACAAACATTATTAACAAGGTAAATTAAAGATGGCATAAAATATATGTCACACACCCGGCCAGGTTCAGACACTGTGGGTGTCTCGTGTGATTGTGCTGTGGGGAAATGATAGGTTTCTTGGTATTTACAGGGGAGCTGATGCCTGAAAAGCTGGAAAGGAATCTCTCAGTAGTAAATGTAAACATATCTCATTGAGTAAGATCACGTGCTGCAGTAGGTGAGAGTTTGGGATTTGGAGTATGGCAGACCTTGATTGAAACATTAATCTGCTATTTTCCAGTAAGTGACATGGGATGAGTCATTAAAAGCTCTCTAAACCCCCATTCTTTCCTCTGAAAGCAGGAAAGACAAACATTATTAACAAGGTAAATTAAAGATGGCATAAAATATATGTCACACACCTAGTGTGGTGCTGGCTCACAGAAAATGCTTAAGAAGTAGAATTCAATAGTATCATTTTTAAATTTTACCTCAGAACTAAAAGGATGCGTCCATTCAGGTTTCAGTTGTACATCGGGTAGGTCAGAATATTTTTGTTTCTTGATAAGTGCTGGTTGGATGTTTGTAGATATGTTTCATTCATCGGCATCACCCAGATACACTGAATGAAAAATAACAGCTCTGTGTAAGCCAGAGCAAGCATCTGAATACTGAGACTATGGAGGATAAAATGTTTATTCTATAAATATACTATAAAATAAATTTAAAGTTATTAAAATTGACATAAAAGAGCATGAATGAGTTATTTGTCCCTCTAAGAAATTAAGAGAACACAAAATATAAATATAAATTGATGAAATAACTAGAGATACTGCTGAATCACAAGAAAATATATTTTCTATTTTTTTCTCCCAGTTCATTATATATTCAAACTATAAGCCCACAAACTGATTGTTTAAAAGGGACCACCATATATAATCAGTAAAAATTAGACAAAGGCTCTAACAGTATATTTTCTTTCCTTTTTTATTTTATTAATGTTTCTTTTACCAAAATGTAACTTGTGAGAGCTTAATGTTGTGTTCCCATTTGAGATGAAGCTTTGAAAATTACAGGCTTATATGGCAGATAGTGGAGAAAATCTCCCAATTAAAGTCTATATTATAGGATGAAAGTATAAACAAAGCATCTAACCACTTGCTTCCCTACCCTCTCACCATTAAATTATACTTAAAGCTAAAGGAAACATTTTCTATCATCACTGGATGTATTGCACATGCCAAGACTTCAAACAATTTCCCTATATATAGAAGAGCTCTAATGGAGAGATAACTTTAACCAGGGACTAACTTACACCTCACACTTACCAGGAACTATGTAGAGGAATTCCTCAAGAATCTGGTTATGGGCTCTCTTTTCCTCCTGTTTATCAGACAGCCTCTCTTCCTGCACTGTGCCAGCAGCCACAACCCTGAGACACGGTGGTGAAGGTCGGGGTGAACGGATTTGGCCGCATTGGGTGCCTGGTCACCAGGGCTGCTATTAACTATGGCAAAGTGGATATTGTCGCTATCAATGACCTCTTCATTGGCCTCAAATACATGGTCTACATGTTCCAGCAGGATTCTCCTCATGGCAAGTTCAAAGGCACAGTCAAGGATGAGAATGGGAAGCTTGTCCTCAATGGAAAGTCCATCTCCATCTTCCAGGAGCAAGATCCCACCAACCTCAAATGGGGTGATGCTAGTGCTGAGAACGTTGTGGAATCCACCAGTGTCTTCACTGCCACAGAGAAGGCTGGGGCTCACTTGAAGGGTGGAGCCAAGAGGGGCATCATCTCTGCCCCTTCTGCGGATGCCCCCATGTTTGTGATGGGAGGGAACCATGACAGGTATGACAACTCCCTCAAGATTGTCAGCAATGCCTCCTGCACCACCAACTGCTTGGCCCCCCTGGCCAAGGTCATCCACGACAACTTTGGCATCGTGGAGGGACTCATGACCACAGTCCATGCCATCACCGCCACCCAGAAGACCGTGGATGGCCCCTCTGGGAAGCTGTGGCGTGATGGCCGAGGGGCTGCCCAGAACATCATCCCTGCTTTTACTGGTGTTGTCAAGGCTGCCTCTGAGGAAAACAAAGCATCTAACCACTTGCTTCCCTACCCTCTCACCATTAAATTATACTTAAAGCTAAAGGAAACATTTTCTATCATCACTGGATGTATTGCACATGCCAAGACTTCAAACAATTTCCCTATATATAGAAGAGCTCTAATGGAGAGAAAACTTTAACCAGGGACTAACTTACACCTCACACTTACCAGGAACTATGTAGAGGAATTCCTCAAGAATCTGGTTATGGGCTCTCTTTTCCTCCTGTTTATCAGACAGCCTCTCTTCCTGCACTGTGCCAGCAGCCACAACCCTGAGACACGGTGGTGAAGGTCGGGGTGAACGGATTTGGCCGCATTGGGTGCCTGGTCACCAGGGCTGCTATTAACTAAGGCAAAGTGGATATTGTTGCCATCAATGACCTCTTCATTGGCCTCAACTACATGGTCTACATGTTCCAGCAGGATTCTACTCATGGCAAGTTCAAAGGCACAGTTCTGGCAAGAGGAAGAGAGGCCCTCAGTTGCTGGGGAGTCCCTGCCCAGATTGATCCTCCAACACCTGACCACCGTTTCCATCCCACATCCTCTGAAGAAGGGGAGGGGTGTAGGGAGCCCTACTTTGTTGTGCACCATCAATAAAGTTCACTGTACCCAGCCAAGAAAGAATTCGTAACTTCATTTTTACCATATCCTGTTAACTTCCGGGTCCCCACCCCCCATGTGATGGTTGTGGATCTGACCTGCCGCTTGGACAAACCTGCCAAATATGATGATATCAAGAAGGTAGTGAAGCAGGCATCAGAGGGCCCCCTCAAGGGCATCCTAGGCTATACTGAGGACCAGGTTGTCTCCTGTGACTTTAACAGTGATACTCACTCCACCTTGTGGATGTCCCCTCTGGGAAGCTGTGGCATCATGGCTGAGGGGCTGCCCAGAACATCATGCCTGCTTCTACTAGTGCTGCCAAGGCTGTGGGCAAGGTCTTCCCTGAGCTGAATGGGAAGCTCACTAGCATGGACTTCCGTGTCCCCAACCCCCATGTGATGGTTGTGGATCTGACCTGCTGCCTGGGGAAAGCTGCCAAATACGATGATATCAAGAAGGTAGTGAAGCAGGCATCAGAGGGCCCCCTCAAGGGCATCCTAGGCTATACTGAGGACCAGGTTGTCTCCTGTGACTTTAACAGTGATACTCACTCCACCTTTCATGCTGGGGCTGGCATTGCCCTCAATGACCTCTTTGTCAAGCTCATTTTCTGATATGACAATGAGTTTGGCTACAGCAACAGGGTGGTGAACCTTGTGGTCCACATGTCCTCTAAGGAATAAGAGTCCCCTGGACCACCAGCCCTGGCAAGAGGAAGAGAGGCCCTCAGCTGCTGGGGAGTCCCTGCCCAGATCGATCCTCCAACACCTGACCACTGTTTCCATTCCACACCCTCTGAAGAAGGGGAGGGATGTAGGGAGACCTACTTTGTTGTGCACCATCAATAAAGTTCACTTCTCCTGTGACTTTAACAGTGATACTCACTCGTCCACCTTTGATGCTGGGGCTGGCATTACCCTCAATGAACACTTTGTCAAGCTCATTTCCTGATATGAGAATGAGTTTGGCTACAGCAACAGGGTGGTGAACCTTGTGGTCCACATGTCCTCTAAGGAATAAGAGTCCCCTGGACCACCAGCTCTGGCAAGAGGAAGAGAGGCCCTCAGTTGCTGGGGAGTCCCTGCCCAGATTGATCCTCCAACACCTGACCACCGTTTCCATCCCACATCCTCTGAAGAAGGGGAGGGGTGTAGGGAGCCCTACTTTGTTGTGCACCATCAATAAAGTTCACTGTACCCAGCCAACAAAAATAAATAAATGAAGAAGAATCTGGTTATGGTTTTTCACCTAGAGAGGCAAGAGGGCAGGTGGAAGAAACAGAACTTGAAATCCCCCTTGGCACTGCTGATGGGTAATGCTGGTGAGTCCTTGTTTGGGGACAGTGAAGGTTCCAACTGCCTCCTCAGCCACAGGAAGCATCCTCGGCTGGAGAGATTCTCTCTTCTGTTGTGGCAGCAATTAACCAGAAGAGATGCTGTTTCTGTTCAAGCAACAAAGTCAAATAGAGGAATCAGCGCAGCGCAGAGACTTTCTCAACAAGCAAACAGAGGGAGACAAGTGCCCTGACTAAGCAGCCCGCATAGCCTGCTCCCACAGCACAGTTTTGGACCTCAGAATTCACCATGTCAATTTGCACCAACCAACTGTTGAGGTTAAGGTCTGATTGAAAGAATCTATTAGAAACCAAGCAGTACTACAAGGAAAAAAATAAGGAAAATGAGTCCACCCTATATATGGACACACACCTAAGTGATCTGGATGGAGAGCCCTTTATTCAAAGTAATCATTTAACAAAAACTGGCATAAAACCCATTAAAATTCAACATCAATAAAGAGGGAGAATTATGTAACTAGAAAGATGCAGAAGCACATGTATGTGTATATGCACCTCCAGTCCCATATCCATATCTATATTTATATGTATATTTTCATATATGTATATGTATATCTAATATGTCTATATCAAATTATAAAAGTTGCCTGTCTTATTCAGATTTTGTGTGCTGCTGATATTTCTCAAACTAGACTTTATTAGAGAAGGTTATAAAGAACCATGTGAAGATTATAACTAAAAGATACAAAGACAAATACTTATCAGCACCAAGCAAGGTGCTCTGGGTGACATTCCCGTGGGATCTGTCCTTGCAGAAGGCAAGCAGCCAGCTCATATGGAGGCCTATTTTGTGCACATATATGTTTGTATACATATGTAGACCACTTCTGTTCATTGCCCAAGTCATCAGTAATCTTTTTCTTTTAAACATATTTTTATTTATTTCAGAGAGAAAGGAAGAAGGAGAGAGAGAGATAAAAACATCGACGATGAGCCGAAACCGGTTTGGCTCAGTGGATAGAGCGTCGGCCTGTGGATCAAGCATGAAACCCGGGCATCCACCCTGACCAGGAATTGAACCGTGACCTCCTGGTTCATAAGTCTACCCTCAACCACTGAGCCACACACACCGACTAGGCAGTTGTCAGTAAGAGTTGATTGCTACAAGTTGTAATAGCATATCTGAACACCAACTTGTTCCCTGTTGTGGTTGAGCCATATTTTAGACCAAGATATGGCTTCCCAGTAGGAGCCTCTTACAGTTAGGATTTTCCTTACAGAGATGTGAGAAAGCATTGCCCCTGACAACTGGCTTTAGTAAATTGTAAGTTTCTGTTCGAAAACAGTAAATGCAGGTCAAGTGGCCAGGCATATTATCCCCACATACGGATTTTCTCAAAACAAATGTAAAAATGGTCAGTGCTTTTAAAGCAGGGTCAGCAAGCCTTCTCTATAAAGGAGCAGGTGGTAATCCTTGAGGCTTTGTGAACTGTCAGCTCTGCCCTAGGGTAAAGCTACCACAGGCAATATGTAAACAAAGGTACATCACTGGGTCACTGGGTGACAAAGACAGACAGTGTTCAGTTTTGTCCCTTGGGCAATAGTTTGCTGACCCTGAGTTAGCCAGTATATGGACCATATGGTCTAACTAGGAAAAACAAAAAGCAAAATGGATTTTACAATATTTTACGGAATTGAAACTTTTTATACTGGAGCAGAGAGAGGAAACAATTAGATGACTAAAGAAAAGGGTACTATATCCAATAGTGTGTTCAGGTGATTTAAGAATCACTTCAGAATTGACACTTTGAGGGGGGAAAGCCACCTTCCTGCAAGAAGGCCAACTAAAGTTCTCCTGTAACTAAAACCTAAAGATGCTGAATAAATTGTACTTTTGTAAAAAGCCATAACAGGGCATTCCAAAACCTAGGAGAGAAAGACAGAGAAGATAATCTTCAGTTGTTAAAAAAAAGAAAAGTCACTGAGCCACACACACCGACTGGGCAGTTGTCAGTAAGGTTTGATTGCTACTAGTTATAATAGCGTATCTGAACATCAACTTGTTCCCTGTTGTGGTTGAGCCATATTTTTTATATTACAGCTGGGGCTTATATTGCCTGTGGTGTATGTGTTAGAGGAACACTTCAGGAAGTACTTTTACAAGGACTCAAAAGATTATTTTTTTTTAAGTTTATTCCCCTTAATGCCAAGATACCAATAGACAATACTAAAATGGCACAGGGCCCATCATGTAGTGGATGCTGTGGTAGGGTATGTTCCTGCAGAACCAAGGCACTCACACATCTCCCCACCCGCTGACAGTGTTAGCAGCCAGGAATTGCTCTTGGCTAAATTGACTTGCCAAAGCTTTCACCTTCTTCAAAGGGTCAGCCTAAAACCTATTACTAGACAAGGCAAAAATTCCATGTTCAACACCTTTATGTCTGTTTGGGAAACCTCAGAAGAGTCTTTGGCTTTTTAAGGACCACCAGATGGTGC